GAGGAGGATGAAGACAGGATGAGAAGAAAAAGAAACAAAGGATCTGCAGCTCAAGGTCAGCCTAGGCTATATAAAGAGACCTTACCTAAAAAAGTAATCCTGGAGCCCAAGTCAAACTGGAAGGGCCTATACCTGCCCCTCAGCATGCAGACAACCCTTCCTGAGGATGAGGTATCTTTAGTTGTAGAAGGGGTCTCTGTGGGGGTGGACCCTGTACTCAAGGCCTGCCACCTAGGGGGACCAACTTACCCCAGTTGGCTAAGAACTAGAATTCTGATTTCAGCACTGAAAGTCCCTGGGCAAAGAAGGTAGATGGTTGTTGTGGCCATAGGGACGACTCTTTCCACCACACCCTTCCCCAGCTACCTCAGTCGCAGCCTACCCTCCCATCCCACCCCCCTCTGGAACTTTCTCAAAGGTTTTTACTTTCCCTTCCTGCTCTTTCTGTCAACGCCTCTTCCTCCTGCCCCCTCAGCATCCCCAGGGATCTCCCCATCTCACTGCCTTTCCTGCTGTCTCCAAAGTCTTCCTGTCCCCTCTCTTGCTCTCTGTGTCTGCTGTCTCCAACTTCCATTGGTCTTGGGGACCTGTCCACTCCTCAGCCAGCAACATGGACCCTTTGGTCAAGATCTCTGTTCTCTGCCTCCTTCTCTAGCTCCCCTCTCGGTCTCCAATGTTTCCAGTCTCTGTCACAGTCTCTGGCTTGTCATTGTCCCTGGGTGGTCTACCCTCCTCCTCTCTCCTGGCACCACACCTCTGGGACGGGTTGGGGTAGGAGCCAGCTCTGGGGGCTGTGACCAGGCCCGGAAGGAGAACCCAAGCAGACATGATATTTATGTTGGGACTTCAAAGTGCAACAGAGGCTGTGGTGGGGGTGAAGAGGGGTTTGGGTCAAGCAAAAGCCAGACTGAGATTCGTTTAGGCTCCTCCCTGGAGAGGGTCTCCTTGGTGATACACATCTCCCCTTGGGACTCAGAGATCCAGAGCAGAGACAGAATGGGCTATTTTGGTGCAGAGTTCCAAGAAAGGCACTTCCTGTGCCCTTGTCCCAGCCCTGGCCTCATCCTTTCTTCCTGTCATCCTGGGCTCCTGGCCCGCCCCCCCCCTCAGCATCAGCCTGCCTGGAGAGACAAGGGGTTCTGGGGGTGGCAGGAGCAGAGGGCTCGATCTCAGCAGGAAAACATCCCTGGCGCTGGGACAGCTGTGCATTCTCACTGTCTGGCTGAGGCCTTGCCTGGCAAGGCCATGTGGGTCTGTAACCCTGTCAGCCCCAACTGACTGGGCCAGGCAGGCCCAGACCCTTAGAGCCTCTGGAGTACACTTTCTGGCTGCCTGCCTAAGGGACAGAAGGGCCATCTCGAAGTTCACCCCACCCCTGACCCCCACCCTTGGCCTAACCTCTACTAAAGACACCCAGCTGCTGGGTGGGGCGGGGTGGGTGGGCAGGGCTGATTGTCTCATCCTGTAGCCCAGCTCTGGGGCCTAAGCCCCTCCCAGAAGCCCCACCCAGCAGGCACCTCTTCAGGCTGGGCCACCCCTTGGGAACCCTTCCAACCCCAGATCTGGGTCAGGAGCCTTTCTCTGGGCCCAGGATCCTCAGGACCCTAGCCCACCTAGGCCCCCAGAGCACCAGCCTCTGGGCCTGTGCCCCTCCCAGACCCTCCTCAACTCTTCCTGTGAATCAGGCCTGCTGGAATCTGATGAGCTCAGGCCTCCCCGCCCAGTGCTGCCTGCCTCTGCCTCCTGCCTGGCGAGTGGGGTCCCCACACCCCTCACAGGGGTCTTCCTAGCAACTCACCACCCCCTCTGTGGCCATTAGGGGCTAGTGTTGGGAGTAAAGCGGGATAGGCCAGGGTTTGGAGGGAGATTAGTTAGGAGAGAGGCTTGACCTCTGGTGGGTCCTCAAAAGTATAAAAAGTGTGATGTGCCTGTCTGCAGCATGTGTCTGCGTGTGCATATACCTGTGTGGGTGTCGGCACATCCTGGGTTGGCACAGTGGGAAGGGAGCTGAGTACTAGGTTTTCAGAGTGTGTGTTACTGTGTCTGAGTGGGGAGCTCCTCATGGGTCAGTAGGCTCTAGGCTGGTCAGGTGGTCCCCGAGGAGTTGATCACCACAGGTGTCTGGGATGACTGTCTCCATGTGTCTTAGCAGTGCTGAGGTTTGCTTGTTAGCCTTGGGGGTGATGGAATTACTGTACTTGCCATGGCTGGGTGTCACACACTCTCATGTTCGAATGTGGGTCAGGGTGTCACTGTGTATTAAACGGCAGGCATGAACATGGGTCACAAGGCCATGGCAAGGTATTGAACATCATATTGAGGGTGGGTCTCAATGATTGCTGTCCATCCCACCCTGCTCAGGCCATCCCATAGCCCTGGCTTCTGGCCTAAACTGGCTGCAGAGCCCGGGACCATGGGCTCCTGTGTCACCCCTTTCCAGGGCCCTTTTTGCAGAAACCCTGCTTCCCTCATTGCACCAGACTGGGCGTGGGTCCTCTGGGTCCTCCAAGTCCCCTGGGTGGCCTCAACTGAAGGAACCTGGCTCTGGGCTGGAGATGAAGTGTGTGCACCCCCTGGTGGCAGTGATGGAGAAGGCGCCACCTGGAACACAGGAACACTTCTCTGAGCCGTCGGGAATGCATCGCTCTGTATCGTTTCATCTCTATTTACTTTATTTATTCAATGTGTTTAGTACAGGGTCTAAAGGATCTCACTATACAGATTGGACTCATAGTAATCCTGTTTTCAGCCTCCCAAGCGCTGGGATTACAGGCATGTGCCACTATATCGTCTCAATTGCTGTCTCAGTGAGCCTCCGGAGCAGGGCTGGCACAGCACTCTGGGAATTGAACTCTGGTCCCTGCACCTGCCTAAGCAGGCACTTTAGTCTACTGAGCTATCTGGCCAGCCCTTTGTATCTATTTACTAAATGCCAGTTCCAGCCCAGGCATTGTCCTAGGCCCCTGAGATTTAGCTGAGAATGAGGCTGACTTGGCTCTGGCACACCAGCAGAACAGACAATAAACAGACTCACAGGGCCACAAGGATGATTTTAGAAGTGCTAAATGCAACATTCCTAAGCAAGGAAATGACCAATGTCAAGTTGGGATCCCAGGCCTGTCCTGTTGCAGTGAGGGTAGAAACAGCATGTCCTCTCTCAAAGCTGGGGCTTCCTTTTCCATACAGACAAAATGTTTGAGGAAGTGCAGAACCCCTAGATCACAGTGAGGCCTCAGTACCAGACCAGTGTGAGTGTGATGAGGCTCAACTTGCTTTCTTGGGACTGTGGACACTTGGTCCCACCAGGCACTCAAGTGGACAAGGTAGTGAATCTATCTGCAGGGATTATAGAACCTGGTGTTTAAATCTTTTGCCTTTAACAAGGCACATACCCTGAGGAAACCTATTTCCTCATCTGTAAAATGAGGATGATACTAGTCATAGACTGGTCTCTTACTGCCTGAGCTCCTGCCCCGGAACCATGACCCCAGCCATGCAGTTTTGAGCAATCACACACATCAAAGCACCGGAGGAGAGCAGGAAGACCTGGGAGTGTTCCATGAGCCATTGATGAGGGACAAGTTTGATTCCAGGAGCTGGGACTGAGTGTGGGAATGAAAGGAAGGGTTTATAGAAGTCCCAGAGGTGGGGGCCCAGAAGTCCTGTTCCAGTTCCCAGCTTCTTAGTCTAAGCTCTATATCTGGTTCCTGGGGGTTCCCTGAGCATCCCCTCAGATATTCCAGGTCTTTCCTCTGGGATCAAGCCAGACACATCCTGTGTTAGATTCCCAGAAGCAGCCCTTTTTGCTTTGCATGGTCCCTCACTCCTAGTTGTTACACTCCAGTCAGTGGACAGGTCTTACTGAGCACTTATTGTGTGCTCACACTGAACAAGGCACTGGCAGAAAGGACATACAACAGAATAAATGGGAGGCTTCCTCCTAGAAAGGTGCTGGGCAGGCATGGGGGGAGTACAGAGTTGGGGAGCAGCAATTCAGTAGCCTAGTGAGGAATTCAGGAGCTCCATACCTGGGCTGTCAATAGGTTGTGTGAAAGCCTACCTCCACAATTTCTGCCTCCTGGTTATCATGTCATATGTGGGTTGATGTCCCTTTGTGCTCAGTTCATAAAAGGAGGGTCACGCAGACTGGTTGGGGTCCTCCTCCATACTGGGACAATTCTTTCCAGAGGAATGGTTTCTGAAAGGCTGGTATAACCTAGAACCCTAACTCCAAGGGACCCGAGGGCCAGTAATACCGGTCCTTCACTGTCCCCAGGCTGTCCTAAGGCTGCAGGTGATCAAGGACAGTGACCCCTGACCCCTGCCTTGGGCGCACCCTTGAGGCAACTTCCTAGGCCTTGTGCGCCCCCTTGTGGTCGGTGATTGATATTTTTATTTGTTCTGATTTGTCTCCCTTGGGGGTTGCCCTGGGCTTGAGGGCTGATTTAATGTGTGAACATGGCAGTTGCCTTTTTGTACTTCAAAGGGGCCAACGAGCCATGCCTTGCAACCCAACAAAGCTTTTATGACGGCCCAAAGTTTAATACAGAGAAAACAGTTTCAGAGCCTCCTTTCCATTCTAGTTCACCTCCCGAGGGCTCTCCTGGGTACCCAGATGGCCTTCCAATCCTGGGAGAAGGCTCCAACTTGGTGGTTTTTGTCCTAGAATGTGGCCTGCGGCCAATAACATTCTCAAGACTGATAGACTGAGAAACTCCTTGTAAGAGCCCTTTGGGCAGGGAATAGGCTCAGTGGAGAGAGCTGCTGAGAGCTGGCACTGTGCTGCCTCTTGGGTCCTCCAGGCACCAGAAATGACTGAGCCTTTCAGGGCCTAGAGGCCCCCGGTAACCCCTCCTGTACTCTTGTTGGGAGATGTATAGAGGGCCAGACCTCTGCACACCCAGCATGCCCGAGGCTGGGCCTCAGTTGCACTTTTCCTCTATTGGCCACACTCAGCCCAGCAGCCTGCAGAAGAACAAGAGACAAAGGACACAGAGTCTCTAAACCTCTCAACTTTACCCAAGTCCCCAGCCCCAGCAGATGTGCTCATGGAGCTAAGTATCAGAGGTGGTGGCAGACACAGGAGTGGCCTGGGGTTGGGGTGGCCACAGGCCTTGCTGAGTGGGCTGGTGGCGCTGCTGGCATTCTCTACAGGGTCCAGCCCCAGAAGACCTTCTGGTCCCTTCCAGCTACTCCTCTGTGGTCAGGCTTCCCTCAGTCTCTGCCTGCCCTGGCTGAACAAGGTCTCCTCCAGCTTGATGCTCTCCCTGCTCAGCAGCCTTACGCTCTCCCCAGCTGTCCTTGGGGCTGCCTTTGACCCCCATGTTCCCTTCTCTCTGGGCTTCTTTCTCCTCTTCCCGGCTGCCTGCTTCTGGCCGCCCACTACCCATCTCTTGTCTTGCATCCTCTTGGGTCTCAGGCCACTCTGCACGACGGTAGACGAGGTAGCCAGCTGTGGGAAGCCTGTGGGCCAGGGCTCCTGGGGGCAGGCGGTGGTAGCTCTGCTCCTTGTACAGGAAGAGGCCGAAAGCATTGGGCTGAGTCACTCGGAACTTGGTGGCACAGAGCTGGTTCAGAGTGGCAATTGAAACCCCCGGGGGCACAGCCAGGGTCTTGGAGGTACACCCACTGCTGGGATCCTGGTAAGCCACTCTGAGGAGATGCTGTACAAGACAAGTAAAAACAAGACTTAGTCCTGCCTGGTATGTGTCTGGTGCCAGAGACCGGTGACAGTGGCATAGGAATAGGGCTGGGCGAATTGGCTCCAGAGGTGGAACCAATCAACAAAATGATATCCATAGAAATTACTCATTCTGCACCAACTGGCTTAATCTCCATAGCCATCCCAGGGACCCATCTTATAGATGGGAAGATTAAAGCACAAAGAAAAGAATAACTTGCTCAAGGCCCCAGAACCAACAACAGGTAGAGCTAGGATGAACCCATGATCCAGGTGCAAGTTAGGACTTGCAAGCAAGGTTGAGAAGCATAAGGGCCAGGTGTGGCTGTCTCTGAGGACACCTAGACCACAGCCCAGATGTGACAACAGGCTGAAGCCTGATGACAGGGGAGGCAGAACCCTGGCTAAGGCTGGAGGCCAGGATTTGGGGCCCATGCCTGCTGCCTGTGTCTCTTTCCCACTCCATGTTGGTCTCAGCGCCCTATCTTCAAAACGCAGATAATCACTTCTCAGTTTCTGTGAAGACTAGGGAAGACTGCCCTAGGAGGGTCAGTCCAGCACAGGCTACACAGAGCACCCCCGCTAAGAGGATGCTGCTTCCACTGTGGGGAACAGAAGCAGGTGGGACCCTGTAGGAGGATGTCAGAGCCTGTCTGGGCCTGGCTGGTTGGGGGGATGGCATGGCGGGATGGTGTTACCTGGAAGCTGTGGGTAGCAGGCAGGCACCGCTGCTCCCAGAGCCTTAGAGAACGCTGCAGCTCCTGTGCAGGGCTCAGGGGGAGAGTGTGAGATTGGCTTAAGCTGCTCAGCAGGGCCAGGCTAGCCGACAGGCTGGTCAGGTAGTAGCCACCTGGGACACAAGAGGCCAGCATGCAGCTCAGGCAGGGTGGAGGTGACCAGCTTCCTGGCCCTACTTACTCAGGGCACAGCAGCTAAGGTCCCCCAGGCCCACCCAGGCAGGGAGGTGGCACCCCTCACCCTCTCCAGTGAGCAGGGAAGGCTCCAGAAGTTCCGACATATACTCAGCTTCCAGTAGGAGGTCAGGAAGGTCACACTGTGCCAAGACGAGGCTCAGCAGGGGCAGGAACTCATCAGCACCTGCACTCTCCCCTTAGGGACATGGGAGGAGACTTCAGGCTCCTATAGGGTCAAAATCTAATCTTTGCCTGAGACAGTGACCCCTTCCCTTTGTCTGCCAGCTCCAGGGCCATGGGATCACCCCAGCAATCACAGGCTGTACAGAGGCCTTACTTTTATCATCCAAGATGGGGCCCTGGGAGCCTCCCCCTTGGGGGGTTGGCTCTAAGTCAGGGGCCTGGGCAAGGGGCGGTGGGGAGCATACCTGCTTGGGTCCTCAGGGTTGTATAAAGCAACTTGCAGGCCTGCAGGAGCCGCTTGACCTGGGCACTGGGTGAGTAGGTGTGGAGCAGCTGCAGTAGTTTCTGGCGCACCTGCTCAATCTCCGCCAGGGAGGGCAGGCTCAGGTGAGAACTAAAGGCCCCAGGGCCCTGGGCCCGGGCCAGGCGGAGGCCCTCAACCAGGCGGCCAAGGGAGCCATCAGCAGAAAGTCGGCGCCGAAGGCGAGCTGTCAGGATGGGCCGGAGAGGCTTGAGCACGGAGTGATGCAGAGACTTCTCTAGGACATGTTCTGCCAGATGAGGGACAGATGGGGTCAGAGAAGGAGCAGAAGCTCCACCAAGCAGGAGGCCCTGAGGAGGACCAGGGTGGGGAAGAGGCAGAGGGTGGCAGCCACCCGAACAGCAGTGAGACAAAAGGGCCCATAAAGCAGCAGAGCAGCATCGGTGAAGCAGGCAGCACTACAGTGAGGCAGAGAAAAGTAGCTGGGGAAAAGCCGGAGGTAAGGGAGCCAGGGACCAAAGAGATCCAAGGAGGCCCTTACCGAGCCTCTTAGGGGGCAGCAGTTTCTCAGTCTCCAGCTCCGCGCTCAGCATGGCCCGGGCCCGGCTCAGTGCCTGGCGGATGCCTTGCAGTTCTTGGGGCTCCTGGTCAGCCCGCACCTGCGTCAGGAGATCCTGTACCAGCTGGCCTACACCTGTGTGTCTGTCTTGCACCAGTGCCGCAGCCACACGAACCACCTGCCGCTCAGGAGCCAGCAGGGAGCAGAAGGCAGAGCTCATGGACCTAAGCAGTGGCCGCCTGTGCCACCTGCGGCCCAGACTGGGGGAGACTGAGGGGCTGCCCTGGGACCCTGGCAGCCCCTCCTCTTCGGAGCTGCTAGGGGAGCCACATTCCACCTCCTGGAGCGAGGGCAGGGGTGGGAGGCTAGGGCTGGCGCCCCCTGGCACACGGTAACCCACGGAGCTCTCCCTCCGCAGTAGCTGTCGAGTGGGAAGCCTCTCAGTGTGGTTGGAGGATGCTCCCGGCATCACAGGGACTGGGGGAGGTGGCACAGCAGGTGGAGATAGGGGGCTAGAGGTCTCCGTGGACACGCGCACTTTGAAGCTCCTTTTGAATTTCTCGCGCTTGGTGGGGCCAAGGTCCCCTGGGAAGAGTGGATTGAAGAAGCACAGTGCAGCGCCAGTGCCCTGGTCCAGCTCATGTGGGGAACGGGCCTTCAGCCTGGGTGCTGGTGGGCCTTCAGACAGGGCTGGCTGAGCTTTGGTGTTGAGGGAGGAACTCCAGAACTCTAGGGACCAGAAAGCAATGAGGCCTCAGGGCAGGCTTGGAGAGGGCCCACTAAGGAGAGGTGTGGCACCTGCCCTTTCCCTCTCGGCCTCAGCTTCTCTGTGTGATGGATGGAGGGGACCCTTACCAATGCCCAGGTGGGAGATGGCCTCCAGCTCCTTGTGGGTGGCTGCCTGCTGGATGGCTCTGGGCAGTCCAAGAGGAAGGAGAAGGATGTCCCTGAGCCAGAGAGGGGTACAGACAGGAAAGAGGGATGCTCAGGTTGGGGGCAAGAGGATCTGAAGATCAGGGAGGGCAGAAGATACATGGTACCCTGTGGGGCGTCTCACCGGGTGTGACAGTAAGCGCAGATGAGCTGGACTAGGTCTGGGAACAGAAGCTCAGACCCCTCCAAAGAGACACCTAAGAGACACCGAGAGGAAGGTCGTTTGCTGCCTTCCCCTCCCACCCCCCAATTTCCAGCCCCTTCCACCCAGGCTGGCCCCTCTCACCACCAGGACTCTCCTGGATGTAGTGGCTAGAAACGAAGGAGGGGCCACTGGCCTCTGGCAGCCGCACACACAGGGCCTGGCACTGGCGGGTGTTAGATTTCCGCACCAGGAATGTCTGCAAGTGGCTGAGGTCAGGAGGCCAGGGCCTCACCATCTAGCCTTTCTCCCTCCCACCCTCAGTGGCCTGGGGCCCCCCAAGACTCACCCCTGGAGGTTCAGTCCTCAGCACATGCAGGGCTGCTGCAGCATTGGCCCGAAGCTGTAGCCACACAGGCCGGGTGAGCAGCAGGCGCTCCCGAAGGCTCACAGTGCGTGTAGACCGCTGGGGCCCACCTGCCTGACCCCCACTGGCATCAGGTACGTCGTAGAGTGGGTCCTGGGGTGGCCTGAGGCCGGGTGGCCACAGCTGAGCAGGGCCAGGGCCCCCATGCCCAAGCCCTTCCCAGCTTCTGGGTCCCCTCCTCCCTTGCCCCCAGATGGACTTTTCCCTTGCAGTCCCTTCCCTCCCCACCGGGCCACCTTTCCAACTTGACTAACTTTTCTCTCTCCAAGTGTCCATGGGCGAGGCTTGGGCTGGGGGCTCTGGGATGGTGTGCCTCTGGCTCTCCCGGGTCTTCCATGGCTAGGAGCTTCTTCTTTCCCTCTGTTAGGCTTCTCCTTCTGTTAGGACTCAGGAAGAGAATTCAGCCTCCAGGCACAGGCGCATACATTCCCAGCGGTGAGTAACACTTCCTGAGGGCGGTTCTGCCCTGTCACACCCCATCAATTAACTCTTCTGTGTCCACTCTGCCTGGCCAGTGCCCCAATTCTTCTCTGTTCTAGCCTGGAGGGCACAGGATCACCTTCCTGCTAGTGCAGTGCTGGGAGCCCCAGCTCCAGGGTGCCTCTTCCACACAGTTCTTTCTGAAGCCTCCTCCCCCTATGTAGCAAGGGTTGGGAGGGGTTAAGCAGGGCCCACCCCATCCCTGAAGACCAGGCCACACCCCTGGGTCACCTTAAGTCTGTGGTCAGTTGCTCATCTTTCCCTGCCTTGGGTGTGGGGGATCAGCCTTGCAGGAGAGCACCCCCTACTGGTCACAGATGACTCATTCCTGAACCTAACTTGGGTTTTGGGATTTCAGGTTGCCAAGGAGAAAGGATGCTGTGTCTCTATGGAAACCAACCCCTTTGCTTAACTGAGGTTCTGGGGGTGGTTCTGACTAGAGCTAACCAGGGGGAGTGTGGCGGCGAGGTTGTCAGCACATGGTGCTGCGGTTGGCTGCTGCCCACGCACAGGCCCTGCCAGCCTGCTTGCCAATCTGCCAAGCAACTGGGGCAGGTGCAGACTTGACCCAGCCTCCAATCACATGCACCAGGCCCTTCCCCGGCTGAAGCCACGTGCTTCATGTGTGCCAGGCTCTGCCTGTGCCACATGTAGTTTCTAACTCTAGGCCCAACCTGCTTCTCTAGCCTATACCACAAGTCAGAGTACCCCAAACTGTAGGGACTCCAGAAGAGTTGGCCTGCCTCAGGCACTCCCCACGGAAGATGCAATTCCCTTCCTGGGTAAATGAGACACTTTGGTCATGCCAGAGTTCCAGAAAAGGTTTTAATTCCAGTTCTTGCAATGTGGGAGGCAGATACCAGGAATGGCCCTGAGAACAGCTGGGGAGCCTGGCTACCACCTCCAGCTGTAGACAGACCTTCAACATAGTATTTCTGGCTTAGAGTTCCTGTGCTGGAGGACCTAGTTCCTGGGTTAGTGGCTGGGGTCTCCACATCTGAGGTCACCAAGAGGAATGTTGCTTTGGCGTAGGACAGAGCCCATCTCCTTTGTCACTGACAATGAGGGGTGGGTGGGTTTAGGGATAGACAGCAGTCCTGCTGGGACCAGGTGAGCTCTACAGCTACAGCTGTGCAGGCTGAGGAGGGGTCCAGAGAGAGAAGGCTGGAGGGGCGTCTGCAGCAGCACTGGCGAGCTGGCTGGGCTGCCCCTGGGGTGTGCCTATTTGCCTTTTGCAGGAAAATTTGAATCCTGAGTATGGTGCCAGCTGTTCCAAGGGATCCCCTGGCTGTGAACAGCAGTGTCAGGGTCCTGGGGGTATGCAGGAAGAGAAGTCATTAAGAAAAAGTTAAGCCAAGGAGTAGGCAGCCACTTCCTGAAGGGGACCTAGGAAGTGCCTCCTCTGGGAGCCCGTATTCCAGGAAGCACTCCAGGCAGCCCTGACCCATCCTGGCCAGGGCTGTATTTCATCTCTACATCATCTAGCTCCATCAGTCTAGAGCTTCCTCCTCCCAGTCGCTGCTCTCCAAATTCCCACAAACCCCTCAGCCCGAATCTGGGCCACTAATTGTTGTGGCCCATTTCTCTCTGGGCTCATTCCCTTCTCTCTAGGCCAGACTGGGGGTGAGGGCTGGGGTGTGTGTTAATGGCAAGGGGAAAGGGAGGCAGGAAGCAACCATGGCTCTTACCATCTGCTTTTCTTTTCTGAGGGGACACTGCTGCCCTGGCCTGCATAGAAGAGAAGCCCCCTGTGAGAGCCCAGCTTGGCAGTACCCACTCCCTGCTGCTCTGACTGGTGGGAGATGCAGGAGTTGGAGTGGCACTGAACTTTGGGAGCATGAGGTCCTTTCTAGGCAGAGCTCTGGGGTGCCTCCTATTGAAGGCCCAGCCAGCCATGTTATCCTCCCCACTTCTTCCATCAAACCTGCCCTGGAACAAGACCTCTGGGATGTGGGCACCCCAGGGTAAAGCACAGGGCAGAGAAGCCACAGGCATTAAGGAAGACAGAAGAGACAGCCAAGGCAACACACATTCCTTGCTCTAGCAGAGGACCATGAACTGCTAAAATGCCAGGGCACCTGGACAGAGGATGGTTGCTGAACAGTAGGCAGGAAATGGGGGTAGGCGATAAGGGAAACAGTGGACTCACCTTTTTGATAGCCGTCCAGTCCTCCAGGATGTCAATCTCCTGTAGCATGTATACAATATAAGGGCCTATGACAGGGGTCAAGGAAGCAGAACAGCCATGGAGGGGGCAGGTACCAGGCCCTCAGCCTGGTAGGCTGAGGTGGCACTCCCTGGTAGGCTGAGGTGGCACTCAGAAGTGGTACACAGATTAAAAATAAATAAATAAATAAATAAATAAATACAGCCAGCCCCACCCCCTGGTGGGCTGAGCTGGCCACACACACACACACACACACACACACACACACACACACACACAAATAAAATTAAAAAAAAAAAGTACACAGAAAGTGCTGAGAGCCTGAGTCCACGCACAAGCCCACCTTTTACCTCTGTACCTCCTGGCTCTCAGCCTATTTCAAGGAGCCCACAGAAGGTACCAATTCCCTTCCTGCCTTCTCCAGCATCTGCAGGGTCCTGTTTCATCTGGCCTTCTGTCATTAACTGTCCCCTTGCTGAGTGACATCTTCTACCTGAAGACAGAATCTAGCCTCTTCCATCCTAAAAGCCATCCTCCCTCACACCGGCATGAGGTCTCCACACTTTCATCCCACCGCTTGCTCCTTCGGGGATGCCTCTCAGGTCCTTCCCTCTTGGCCTCCATCAGCTCATCTCTATGTTCTCAGGACTGAAGAGACAGGAAGCCAGACTGAAAGGCTCCTCCCAAGGGGGGCAGAAGCAGCAAGAGCACAGGGAAAAGAAAAGCCACAGACATTGGGGGAGACAGGAGAGGCAACTTTTGGGATGACATTGAGCAGGCAGGGAGTAAGAGGAGAGGGAATGGTTGGGCCGAAGGTTGAAGTCTGGGACTTCCTGTAGCTGAGACTGGGAATATGGAGGAAAAGCTAGGGGGTCCTCAAAGACTGATTCCCTACTTAGGAAGTTATGGTGAGTCATTAGGCTTAATTTTTTATTTTCCTCGGATCCATATAGCTAGGGGGCACCCAGGAACCCCAAACTATTCCTGACAGTTGGACTGGCTTGAGAAGTCATGTGATACTGAATGGCCATAAATGTGTGCTGCCTGACTCTTTCATGTTACCTCTAAGCCCCTCCTGAGTCTGCAGCCTGCCATGACATCCAGGCCAGTGCTGTGCCACCTTGGGTGGAAGGATACCAGAGACGAGAGGTGCCTTCTTCCTCTTGCTAGGTGGCAGCGAGTCCCAGGTCCTGGAGTTGCCTCTGGCATGCAGTTTGTCATCCCACCATTCTGTGGCCCCAGACCCACAGTCAGGATCAGGGGACCAGCACACAGGCTGGGGCCTCTGCTTATCACATGGGCCACCTGCCCCACCCCCAACTCCCTCATCACCACTCAGGCCAGTGGACTGACTCAACTGTCCCATCCCTTAGGACTGTCCAGGTCCTGGCTGAATAGCAGTACCAGCACAGGGAAGAGGCTACCACCTTCTTGTAAGCCATGGTTTCTTCATTTGTTGAGGAGACTGAGATAAAATCAATTCCTACCTCTCCAAGACCCCATATAAACAGAGGTGCTGTGGGCATGGAGGGTACTATGGCTATCATACATGTGTGGGGTCAGGTGACCCTGCTGTGTGCTAGATCCTGGACTAGGCCTTTTCCAGGCCTCAATGAGTCCTCACAGCGACCCCAGGAAGCAGAAGCCCAGAGAAGGGTGGGTACAGGCAGAGCTGGGCCCCTGCTTCACCTGAACTGATGTCCAGGCTCTGGCGATCCTCCTCCAGCCTCTGGATCCGCTCCTGCAGCTCCCCCTGGAGTGTGTCATAGAGCAGCAGCTTCTCGCTCTGGAAGAGGCGAAGATGCTCAGCTGGGCACCACCCAGTGACCTCAGCCTCGCCCACCCTGCACAGGTCCCTGGGCCTTAGCTCACCTCCAGGTGCTGCTTGGCTCCCTGCAGTTCACACTCGTACTTATTTCTAATCACATCCAGACAGAAGCCTTTGTAGATTCCTAGAGAGACAGAGACAGACAGACAGACAGACAGAGAGCAAGAAAGAGAGCGAGAGCGAGCACAAGAGTGAACAAGAGTGACAGCCCTGCTTAGATGGGGGCCCAGGGCCCAAAAGGGAGGGTGAGATATTCCAGAGGACAGGGAGTGGCTGGGCAGGGATAAAAATGGAAGGGGCTATGTTTTGGGAAGGCACAGGACAGCCACGGACCTGCCACCTGGATGCGAATCTTAAGACTCTGCTGCAGTCCCCCAAGAGGCTCTGTATACTCAGGGGCTCTCTCGGCCCCTACTTCCTCTAGCCTCAAGCGCAGCTGACTCAGTCGCTCCCTGAACAACCTGGGAGGTGAAAGGTAGTCAGACAACCCTGTGTCTCCCACAGCTCTTGGGCAAATGTTGCCATGAGGGCCGTGAGTTTGGTACTCGTCACTCTGGGCATCAGTCCCAAGCCTCCTGCCTCCTCGCCCCAGCTACCCTGTGACCTAGCCTGAGGCATCCATGTGCTCACTTCTCCTTTAGCTCCGAGAACTGCTTCTCCAGGTCCAGCATTTCATTGACACACTCACTGCGGCGCCGCTCATAGTCCTCGTCATCCATCTCTGGAAAAGGAGACTGGTTAGGGCTGGCTGGCTCTGGAGCATGGGCAGCCATGAGGGCGCGGCTCACCTGAGCTCTCCTCTTCTGACTCTGTCTGGCTGCCACTCCGTTCCTCCTCACTCTCTTCCTCTTCCCCATTCATCTCAGCAGCCGAATCACCCTCTACTTCCATCTCTTCTGTGTCTTTGCTTGGAGGCTGGACAGGCATTTGGTCTCTGGAGGAGGGGTGCAGCTGTCACAGGAAGCCTGAGCTTCAGCAGGCTGTGTGTGGGGAGGGAGTCTGTATGGGAGAGGTAACTGGCCTCACACCAGTAGCATCTTCACCTCTCACATGGAAATGCTCATCCCCTTAGATGTTGCTGCCGATCCCAACCCTGGAAATACTGGCTGAAGATCTGATCCACTGATGGGGAGGGTCATGGGCGGGCTCCCCAGTGGCAACTGAACTGGGCCTAACTTGACTCAAGGCCCTTAACAGAGTGGACTCCTTTACGCCATCTAATAGCCAGTTCTCCTACTTCCATTACACTTCCTATGCCCAAGTGGTTTATTTGGACTACAACGTCTTCTGTGCCTCTTCCCAACACTCTACAATACTCTTGCCTTCTGCTGTGTCTGGGGCCCCAGGGACCCCAGGGCCTCACTGCTCCCCTCACTGTCTTCTCTTGGCAGAAACTATGTGTTGAAAACTCGAGTTCCAGTACAAGTGTTCAGAGATGTGACCTGTGAAAGGTGATTAGGTCTGCTCTCATGAATGGACTCATACCACATTACAAGAGTGACCTAGTCTGGCAGTGGGTTCCTGATAAAAGGTGACTCTGGCCTTGTCCCTTCTGTCTCTTACCCTGTCACCTGATACCATGGGATCAAGCAGAAAGAAGGCTCTTGAAGATACTTGAGTCCCTAAACTTTGCACTTCCTAGCTTCCAGAACTCTTACAAAATCTTTTATTTTTTAAAAAATTTTATTTATTATTTATGTGTGTGTGTGTGTGTGTTGCCAGCTCAGCCCACCAGGGGGCGGGGCTGGCTGGCATGTGGTGCTGGGGGATTGAACCGCAGTCCCTGTGCTTTGCAAAGCTTGCTCTAAGTAGATGCTTTAGACCACTGAGCCATCTCACCAGCCCTACAAAATCTTTTATTGTTTTGTTTTTGTTTTTTGGTGGAACCAGGGATTGAACTCAGACCCTTGCTCTTGCCAGGGAAGCGCTTATTCTGCTGAGCCATCTCCCCGGCCCTTCCTACAAAATCTTTTAAAAAGAAAGAAATCTCTGTTCTTTCTAGATAGTATTACCCAGTCTAGTTTTTTTTTTTTTGTGTGTGTGTGCATATGTGTTTATGGTGTGAAGACTTGAACCAAGGACCTCACACATGCTAAGCATAAGTTCTACCACTGAGTTACTCTCTCAGCCCTCAAGTATTGATTTTTCAAGACAGAGTCTCGCTATGTACTTAGTTCAGTCTGGTCTTGAACTCACTACATAGCCCAGGCTGGGTCTGAACTCACAGTGATCCTGATTCAGCAACGATTTTCCTGCCTCAGCCACCCGAGTGTTGGGATTACAGACATGTACTACCACACCTTGCTTCTTTTGCTCTATTAGTGTACCTCTTAATCTTACTGAAACTGATCCTATAATTAAGGACTTCCTTGTGGCTGTCACACTACCTCAGGGCTCATTTCCAGATCTTACAAGCACTTTTTTACTTGGAGACTGGGCTTGAACTTGCAATCCTCTTGTATCTTCAAGATACAAGAAGTCACTCAGTGACCCAGAGTGCTAGTGGGTTTTTTTGTGTTTTTGTTTTTTTAAAAATGTATTTGGTACAGGGTCTCACTATGGCAGGTTGGACTCATGGTGATCATCCTGCTCCCAGCACTGGGATCACAGGCGTGCGCCACTATGCCCAGACTTTGGCTGCTCAGCCCACCCTGGGGGTGGGGCTGCTATGGCGTGTGGCGCCTGATTGAACCTGTGGTCCCTTGCCTGAGCAGGCCCTTTAGTTCGCTATCTTGCTGGCACTTTTTTTTTTTTTTTTCTTCCCTGAGACAGAGTCTTACTATGCAGTTTGGGTTGGCCTTGTGCTCACTTTTGTAGCCCTTAGGCTGGTCTGGAACTGCAGATATCCTCCAGGCTCAACCTCTGGAGTGCTGGGAATACAGGCATACCTTACCACAGCTGCTTCCAGGCCGCACGGTGGACACCTACATCTGGGGCTGAGATGGCGCGTCCCGGGGACCACAGGGCATATGGGGCTGGGAATCGACTCAGGTCCTTGTGCTTGCCAGGTAGGTGCTTATGTCTCTGAGCTATCTCTTTGGCCTGTGTGTGCCATTATACATGGTCTACAGGGTCTCACTACACAGATCAGACTTGTAGTGATTCTCCTGTTTTCAGCCCCCAAGTGCTGGGACTATAAGCATTCACCATCACGCCCAGTCTCAATCACCATTTTAGCATGCCCCAGGGTCAGGGCCAGCACGGCATGCCAGAAATCGAACCCGGGTCCCTGTTTCTGCCTAAGCAGCTCTTTAATCCTCTGGCCAGCCCTTTTAATGCTTATCTTAATTGGCCTTTCAGCAACATTGAACACTCCTAGATATTCTTTCTTTCATTCATTCATCTGATAGTTATTGAGCACTTAGGTATCATCAGCTACTGTGGTACAACTGTGACAGACTTTGACCTCAGAGGACTTACAAATTCTGGTTGAGGTGGCAAAGAATTACGATATAAGGAGAATTACATCAGACGTTTGTGGGAGGGGATTCTAACCAGGACCTGGCTATAGCAGTGAAAGCTTCTGAGGTTGATGAAAGATGAACCTGGGGGAGGCCCTGAGTTCATTGAGGGAGGAAATATTCTTGGCAAAGAATGCAAAGGCCCAGAAATGGGAAGGGGAGGGGCTGGAGGACCCAAGGGTCTGACCTTCAACAAGACCTGGGCTGCAGATCAGTCATCAGCATTCAGCAAGTTCTCCAAGCAATCAGTTGGTGTGGCCAGGAAGGCAGAATGTGGAGAGTAAGAAGGGCTATATGGTGGAACTCCCACAGTCAGTAAAGGGCTAAATCGGAAACTAAGGAGGAAAACCCAAAGTAACAAAGAAAGAATTTCAAAAGAAAGGAATAGTGATTCCTAAGTGCTAAAGGTACCAAGAGATCACTACAGAGGAAGACTAAAGAATGCTCTTTGCAGATTTTCTCTGTCATCTGAGGGCTATGCAACTGTCAATCTCTTTCTGGGTTTTTTGGATTTTTTTTTTTTTTTTTGTATTTTAGGGAAGGGTCTACAGGGTGTTCAGGGTCTCACTACTAGATTGGACTGACTCATCGTGATCCGCCTGTTTACCGCCTCCCAAAAGCTGAGATTACAGGTGTGCGCCACCACGCCTAGTCTCAATTGCCCTCTCAGGGTGCCCTGGGGGCGGGCGGCACCTGGATTGAATCTTCTGCCCCTGCACCTGCTTGAAGGTGCTTTAATCCAATGAGCTATTTGACTGGTCCAATCTGTCTCTGTTGTTGAGGAAGGATCTTGCTATAGTTCAGGCTGGCCTTGGGCTTACTATATAGCCCAGGGTGATCTTAAATTCATAGTGATCCTCCTGCTTCAGCCTTCTGAGTGCCAGCATCACTGCTGTTCTTCCAACCTCTCTGCCTACTGCTTTGCAGGCCCTTAAGATAGTGTGAACGCCACTCCCATTCCCTTCAGGAAGCATTCTGTTTACATCTCCTACTGTCCATTCTCACGTCATTGTTCTACCAATGTGTGTGGCAGCCTTACTAGGGTAGGAGTTGCATTGTGCTCCTTGCTCACCTAATGCACTACTGGCTCACCTGATGAAGAGCTGCAGATACAAATTACATAAAACAAGTTTTCAGTGCAGGCGCCTGTAATGGTGACCAACATTCCTTGACACTCATTCAAGTAGGGTGCTGTCCCTGGCCTATGGACTTTAGACACATTTTTGAATGATTTCACTAATGATCTGAGCCTGACCTGAAAATCGGCCTCATTTTTCCGATTCTCCGATCTCAGTTCCCACCACCGGCAATACCTCCTCACTGTTAAGTGTATGCAACTTGTCAGAAGCGGTGCTAAATTGTACCTCTTCCAGAAAGCGCGTCTCTCTTGCAGGTGACTCTGATTGACTCCTAACTAGTCACAAACTCCCCTCTTTAACCCGGGTGCAAAAACTAGAAAACCATTCCTGATCGAGAGTTGAAAAGACTGCAGGATTTAAAGATGGAAAAATCACACTCCAAGTGCTGTGCACATGCAATTTACGTCTCTAGACAGTAAGCTCCTCGAGGGCAGGCTTCCACAGAAGGCAGACCCCCTCCCCACAATCACAGAGGCCAACTTAGATTTTCTCAGGCTCTCCGGGAGCCTTCCACCTCGTTCTACCTTCAGGTACGCCGGCGCGGGCTAGAGAACAGAGGGATGTTCCGCGGTCAGCTGCGGCCCTGCGGTCCCGCGCGCATCACGCCGGTTAAGTCTCTCCGCTCTCTCGGGAGGAGATTGTGTTCGTTCCTACCGGCTGATCAGAGAGGTCAACCCAGGCAGCAGGTATGGCGATACGCACCGCGGGATCTGTGGCCTCCGGCCTCACGTCCGACTCCCTGAGAGGTGATCGAGTCCTTCTTTTGGCAACCGCTACTGGGCTCCCGGAAGCTCTATGTAGGTCCCTCTTTCCCCGGGAGGCGGGGCCTACGGGCATTTCCGTGTACATCATCAAGAGGCGCTGATCTTGGAAGCTTGCGATTGGCCAACTGGGTTGGAGGTATGCTGGGATACCGCGGGTCGGTGTCCATAGCAACCGGGAGACATCCACACAGGCCTTCGCTTGGCGGGGAAGACCTGTGTGATTTCTTGACTTTACAGCAAGCAGCCCTTGGTCCTTGGCCACCTCCCCACAGCGCGTAAGGGGAAAACCCGGGACCCTAGCTCAGGAGAGTAACAGAACCAGCTGTGGATGTGAACACTCGTTTATTTACACATTGTCATTCGAAGGCAAATAACCAGCCCAGGCCGTCAGAGGGTACAGATCTCAGATTGTCCCACATAGAGCCTGCAGATCATTCCCTCCCGAGAGCGCCCGAGGGCGGAGGCCCGGAAGAACCGTGAAGTTTAGGTTTCGGCCCAAGAGTTAATAATTAAATTCTATGCTTTCATCTTTTCTTTCCAAAAGGCCCGTTTCAGTAAGTACTCAGACTTCTCAGCTCTGTTCCAGTCATACCTTTTACTCTCTTACTACCCATTCACCCAATATTGTTAATAACAATAATAACAATAATAATACTGTAATAATATTAATACTTCACATTTGTACGAAGCTTACAGAATGTTTTCACATACAGCATCTCATCTGAGCCTCCCAAGAGTTCTGTGAGGTAGGCATTCTCACCTCCCTTTTTACAGACAGGGTAACTGAGGCTCAGAGAGGTAATGGGATTTGCTCAAGGCCACACAGCTAGTTAGTGGTAAAGCTAGGACTTAATCCCAGCACCCCATATTTAAGTCCAGTGTTTCAACTCCACAGCTACCTCTGTAAAGTGGAGTGACATTTCTTACCCCAGTCAGGCCTGAGGTGTGGCCTGAGGAGCCAGAGGCTGAGACTTCTCAGACTAGGGAAGGGAAGGACTCAGCAGCGTCGGGGAGAGTTGGGGTACTTGGCCTTCAACTCCTGTTTGAATTGGCGGTAAAGGATCTTATTGTGTTGATTTTCAGCTTCCTTTTGGGGATGGAACTTCAAGGCTTCTTTGAAGCCTTTATGAACCAAAAAACCTTCATTCAGCACCTCAAAGTCAAACCCTGCCACGTGCAGTTCACAGGCCTGTAGAGGGAGAGACAGGTCAGCAAAGTTTGATGACATTTCCAGGACCCAAACAAGCATCTCTAAAGCCACACTCCAGCTTTCACACCTCTCTGAAGGCATCTTGGAACTTCCACCCAGCCACTTCCCAAACTATGATCTCTCCTCTATCACTGCCTCTTTTCCATCATCCCATTTCTGATCCCATGCCCCCTCATAACCATTTCCCCCCTTCCCTTTCCCTTTTAGGCACCTGGCTGATGCGATTGAAGCCGTACTGCCGAAAGCGCTCGTCAAAGTTAGGCACCTTGCCTCCAGCCACGTAGAAAGGCTCCCAGGGGTCCTGCCAAGGCACCACGTAGGCAGGTCTCAGTAAGCTTTCTTCGGGCAGGTTGACCCAGCGGGAGTAGTTGGTGGGTGCCTGGCAGGGTGTGCAGAGCCCATAATAGAAGGGCCGCACCTCCCCCACCTGGTAGAGCTGCAGCAGCTCTGCCTTATCCATGGGCATGCGGCGGGCACGGCGGATCTCGAAAGCTGGCACCACTAGGGCTGTTCCCCCCCACTGGTTGCTCTGATCCAACATTTCCCGCAGGCCTCTCCATAGCCCCTCGCTGGGCACCATGTCCATATCGATCACCAGAGCATAGTTGGCCCCCTCTCGAGCCAGATTCCTCAACAGGTTGTTGGGGTAGGAGACGTTGGTGCCCAGTGCGTAATTGATCCCAGGTTGGGCCACCTTGGCTAGCTTGTCAAAGACCTCTTGGCAGGAGCGAAGTAGAGCAAATTCTCCCGGCTCCCGGGGGTCAGGCACTGCGGCCTCATAACGTGAGGGGCACACAAGATGCATGGCGACCCTGGCGCGCATGTCGGGGCAGTGGCTGCTCAGAGCATAGGCCAGCACGGTGGCCAGCTGCGCCTCTTCCTTAGTGGCTGCAAACACTGAGACGGACAGTGGGCCCTCCCAACGCTCCAGCAGGCCCGATAGGTGCAGCAGGTTGTCTACGCTGGCATGCGTAGCCAGGATCACATCGTTGGGGTCCATGGTGGTCTTTAGGAGGCCCCGATAGACGCGGTAATCGCCACTTGAGTCCAGGACGCCTCCGGAGGCCAGCGCGGTGCGGAGCTGCGCTTTGACTTGGTCCACTGATCGCGGGGACGGCGGGAAGAACTCAAAGTATTGCTCCTGCTCCTCCTGCCCGTGCAGTCCGGACAGCAGCGACAGGTAGAGCAGCTGGAGCATCGCCACGAGCATAAGTGCGGCCAGCAGCAGCTGGTAGAAGGCGCATCGGATGGCGTAGGACATCTGCATGGTTCCAAGGGCTCGGGGCGCACAGCAGGAACCACCGGGCTGCGCAGCAGGGACCACAGGGCCTCGGTGTCTACTCAAGTCTAACAGCGACCGCACGCCCGGATTTACCGCAGCCTGCCGAGCGCACCCGAGGCGTCCCGAAGCGAACCGAGCCCCGCGCACAACCCCCCCACCCCCACGCAGTCGGCCTGCGCTTGTCTCTGGGAGCTCGAGCGCGCCCTCTGCGGGACAGGAGGAGCCACTGTACCCGCCGCGGGCTTTGCAAATGTCGATCCTGCCACGATCCCGCGGCTTGGCCGCCACCGCCACTGCCACTGCCACTGTGCCCGCGTGCTCAGGGACATGCACCTCTTCCGCGCGGTTATTGTGCAACCATCTGTACCTAGTGCATCTTGCAACCCAGGCGCGCACACCAGGACTCGGAAGGGAAATTGTGTTTAAAAACTCCGCGGCAGCTTAATGAAGAATGGCGCGGCTCCTGGCAAAAGCGCGCTCCCAAAAACAAAACAGTTCCTTTCCATTGTTTTTTTTCCCCTCTCTTGAGTCCTACCGGGCCGGTGGTAAGAGGTGAATGATAGGAAACCGAAGGTTCGGAGACGATGAGAGATAAACAAATGTGGAAAGAGAGAGTAGGCGTGGGACGAGGTGGCCGAGTGGTTAAGGCGATGGACTGCTAATCCATTGTGCTTTGCACGCGTGGGTTCGAATCCCATCCTCGTCGGTTCTGTTTTACAGAGGAAGGTTTCTTAATTTTCTACATCTGGCCCATCTGAATGCAACGAGCTAACTGAAAAACAGTGGAATTCTGCCCAAATCTTTGCCCTCTTCGTATTTGTGCACCAGGCATCTCGCTCATGTTCACTCACCAGGTATCACAACCTTCCGGACAGGATCCAGGTGGGTGTGGTTTGTTTCTCCTTATGAAGAGGACCCAGGAGTCTGGCAATTATGACTGAAACTGGGATTTTGAGTAGTGGCAAATTGTGGGCTAATATTATCCTCTGCAGGAAATAGAGGCTTCTTTCAGAGGTAGGGGGTCTCTCAATTTGGCCTACTGATTTATATTTTGCAGCTTGGTCCACTAACACCTACCTTCTCTCTGACAGAGGCTGAATAAGGCATAGGGGCCCTGGATCTGCAGGTACTGTCCTTGAAGGTTTTCATAGCCAGCAGGTGCCAGGACAGAGGAGGAAGGCAGGTGATACCTGGCTAGGAGAGAGGATGTTGTAGCAGAAGGGAATATAGGTGATAGAATAGGTCTGCTGGTGGTTTCATTATAGTCCACCCTCTGGCTCTTCCCAGGGATTACCGTTCGACTTATAGTTCTCTTGAGAACCAGAACCAACAGTGTACATGTGACCGAGTAAGTGATCGAGTTGGCTGCTGTGACTATTGGGGCTAGCGAGTTGGAACTGTACAGAGCAGGCTAGCAGGCTGGAGATCAGGGAATAAGCTCAGGTCTGAAGGCTAAGTCTGAGGACCACCGGGAGGTAGATTTACCTCTTTTATAAGGCCTTCCGCTGAAGGGACGAGGCACATTCACATTATAGAAAATAATAAGGTATAACGAGAAATATGTATTTGGTCTCTGTTCCTGGTTCCTAGCACAGTGCGCCTAAGTCTTTTGGAATTTCCTGGGTAATAGCTATATCCTTTGTTCAAATGAGCAACTTTGGGTGGGATCCTCAGTGCTGCAAAGGGGACCTGGTTGCCGGAGGAACCAACCCTGTGATTAGAGGTTTGGAGCTTTCAGTCCCTTCCCCATCTGAGTGGGCTGAAGTGAAGTTGATCGCCCATGGGCAATAATGCTGTCACTCATGCTCATGTAGCCAAGTCTCCATAAAAACACAGAAGGACAAGCAAGGATCAGAGAGTGTCGCAGAAAAAAGACCAAACATGTGAAAAACAGCATTGAGATTTAGAAGGCACCGGTGGGCTTCTGACTAGGATCTCTCCTAAAGGGTCAGAGCTCTGCCTCGTGAGGGTTTGGGGCTTTTAAAGAGAAAGTGAGCAGGGAGGTACCTAGGCAGATTTGGCACTGATGATTGGAGGGCTGGGTGACATCATGGGTTGCTGAAGGAGTTTACATATCCCAGTTTCAAGGCCATTAGTTAAACAGGCAAATGTTACAAAAAGGGAGAAGTGTCCTGTTATATTTGAGGTTATATTTGAAGTTACATTGCAAGGTCATCAGTTACAAAGACAGCAAAGACAGGGTTTTTCATAGAGAAGCATTCTGCTATTGGGTCTGCAAGACATGTCCACATGGCCTTGGCGGCAGCCTAGGTAGACTTTTATTTATTTATTTATGTATTTTTTGAGGGGTAGGCTTTTATTTAAAATTTAAATTTTCCCCTTTAAGAGCTTCCATGGGCTGGGGAGATAGCTCAGTAGAATAAGCGCTTGCCTGGCAAGCACAATGTCCTGAGTTCAATCCCCCATACCAGAAAAAAAAAAAAAAAAAAAAAAAGAAACCCTTTAAGAGCTTCCAGATAGTAGGCACCTGAACATGTAGAGGTGCCAGGGGTAGTTTGCCTCAAGCAGATAGGAAAACTTTGTGCTCCTTCCCTACACCTTCCATGGCATCTCTTTCATTTAGCTGTACCCTCTGAGATTGTCTTTATAAGAAGCTGAGTGAATACTTATGTTTCCCTGAGAGTTTTTTTTTTTTTTTTTTTTGGAACTGTGGCTTGAATTTAGGACCTTGAGCTTGTCAGGTAGGCACTTGTGCCATTGAACTACCTCCCTAGCTCCTTTCCTGAATTCTGGAAGCTGCTTTAACAAATTAATTGAACCTGACTAGGGGGTTTGTGAGAACCCCACTTTATATCTGGTCAGTCAGAGAACAGGTACTAATCTACTACTTGGGGTTGGTACCTGTTATGGTTTATGTCTAGTTGTCCCCTCAAAACTTCTCACAGTCATGGGGCAGCTTCTGGAGTTTGTGACTGATTCATGATCCAGTGCTGGGATTATGGGTGTGAGTGCCCTGGGGTGGATACTCTGCATTACAGTGTAAGGAGGAAAGAAGTGAGCTAGCTGTCTGAACTGCTGGCAGTCCTTTTGCTCTTTTCCTCTTCCCTGCTGCCATGAACGGCTGCTCTCTCTCTGCCATGTGCCACTCTGCCTTGGAGCCAGCTGAGTGTGGACTGAAACCTCCACTGACTGTGAGCTAAGTAAACCTTTCCTTCCTTCACTTCAGGTATTTTATCCCAGCAATGAGAAAAGATTAACTGAGACAGCACCAGAAATGGGAGCCTTTGGTCTAGACAGCCATCCTTATTTAGGATCCCTTGATTCCCCATAACTACAAATATGCCTTAGTGTCTTTATTCTTGCAATGGGTTGCACTGGAAGTGGTAGATTGGAACAAATATAACTTCCAAGGACCAGGAAGGGCTCACTATAAGGATTGACTCCTCCACCTGTGGTCTGTAGCCAACTCCAAGGAGAAGTTCTTTATAAATTCTGGAAACTAGATCTTTATCAGAGATACAATTTTAGAATATTTTCTTCCATTCTGTATGCTATTTTATTTATTTTTTTTTTATTTTAGTGGTACCAGGGATTGAACTCAGGGCCTCGTGCTTGCCAAGCAAGCACTTATTGTACTGAACTATATCCCCAGTCCTGTTTTATTCTTGTTTGTTTGTTTTTACTTTCTTGATAGTGTGATTTGAAGCATGTTTTAGATTTTGATGAAAAAACATTTTTTTTTGAATCATGTATTTGATACAGGGTCTCACTATGCAGATCAGACTCGTGGTGATCCTCCTGTTTTCAACCTCCCCAGCTTTGGGATCACAGGCATCTGTCACCATGCCTAGACTGTCAGCAGCTCCATGTGCCCAGGTGCTGCATGCATGACCCAGGATTGCCCTGTGCTTGCCAAAGCAGGTGCTTTGTCTGCTGAGCTATCTCACCAGCTCCTTAAGATTTTGATGAATTTCCAATTTATCAGTTTTTTTCTATTGTCACTCATGGTTTTGGTGTCACATCAAAGAGTTGCACTTTTTGCATACTTTTTGTCCACTTATTTACTTTATTTATTTATTTTTAAAAGCTTTTTTTTTTTTTTTTTTGCAGAACCAGGGATTGAACTCAGACCCTTGCACTTGCTAGGGAAGCACTTATTCCACTGAGCCATCTCCCCGGCCCCTTTATTTTTGTATTTTGTGCAGGGTGTCACTACACAGCTCTAACTTGTAGTAATTCTTTTTTTTTTTTTTTTGCGGAACTGGGGATTGAACTCAGGCCCTTGTGCTTGCCGGGGAAGCACTTATTCCACTGAGCCATCTCCCCAGCTCCTAGTAATTCTGTTTTCAGCCTCTCTAGCACTGGCATTACAGGAGCTGGCCACTCAGTTATTATCATCAGAGCTCAGGTCCTCGGTCACTGAGGACTGCTGTGGTTCTTTCTGGGGATCTCTGGTCCTTACCTTGAGCATCCCTTCCTGGCTCCAGTGCAGATCTCTCAGCCTGCTGGCATAGATCTTTCATCCAGCTAGTGCAGATTTGCTAGCTTCCATCACTGACCTTCGGGCCTTCAGTTCAGATCCTTGGTACAGACTTGCATGGGATATTGTAGTGGTTTTAGGCCTCCAGCTGGACTTATGGAGGACATTCCCATGGATCCAGGCCCTCAGCTGTGTTCTTTGGGTCTCCAGTGTGTGGACAGATCTCTCACACTCTTTTGCATTTGACTCTTTGGGTGAATACTATAAAATAATCCTGAGCTGGGGAGAGAGCTCAGTGGCATAAGTAGCTGCCTGGCATGTGGCTAGATCCTGGGTTTGATCCTCAGTACAAAAAAAAATCAACTATAAATTATATCTCCTATATTAAATCTGTTCCCTTGAAAACCCTGGCTATAACAGATATGCACCAAAATGTTATATTGCTTTTGTTTTAAAATTTTTATTAGTAGATGTTTTCAGTACACAATGATTATTCATCCTGGGGAGTTGGTACCTCTACATAACACATCTTTTTATTTATTTATTTATTTATTTATTTATTTAGTGTGTGTGTGGCCAGTTCAACCCACCAGGGGGCGGAGCTGGCTGGCATGGGGTGCTGGGGGATTGAACCGCGGTCCCTGTGTTTTGCTTAGCTTAGCTTGTTCTAAGTAGGTGCTTTAGACCACTGAGCCATCTCACCAGCCCAACACATCTTAATTCTCCTAGTTGCCTTTATTTTTTTATTTTTATTTTTTAAAAGACACCCCAAATTTATTATTTATTTATTTGTGGCCAGTTCAGCCTGCCCTGAGGGCACAGCTGGCATGGCATGTGGTGCTGGGGATTGAACCGTGGTCTGTGCCTGCTTCAGTTTGCCTAAGCAGGTGCTTTAGACCGCTGAGCTATCTCACCAGCCCCTCTAGTTGCCTTTAGATCCTTCAGCATATTTAAGAAAGTTCATTTAAAGTAATTGTGTATGGGACCTGCAAGTCAGCTCAGCAGTCTTAGGCAAGCTTAGGCACAGTGTAGGGACCGCAGTTTGATCCCTGGCAACATATGCCAGCTCAGCCCTCCCCTCAGGGTAGGCTGAGCTGGCCACAAAAAATAAATAAAGTAATTGTGTAGTGACTCCAATTTCTGTGCTTCCTCAGGGACAGTTTCTGCTGATTTCTTTTGGGAATGGGGCACACTTTCTGATTTCTATTCATCTTCATAATTTTTTGTTGAAAACTGGACATTTTGAATATTAATAATAGATAACTCTGGAAATCAAATTCTTTCCTCAGGGTTTCTTTTATTGCTTGTAGAAGTTATAGATATTTGCACAGTGACTTTTATTTATTTATTTATTTATTTATTTATTTATTTATTTTGTGCATGTATACTTATTTAATGAAAATTTTAAGCAGGTACAGTGCTGAACACCTGTAATCCCCACAACTAGGATGCTGAGGCAGGAAGATCACAAGTGCAAGGCCAGCTTGGGCAAATTAATGAGTCTATCTCAATAATAAAAATAAAAAGGACTTGGGATGCAGCTTAGTGGTGGAGCACTTGCCTAGCATGTACATGGCCCTGAATTCAGCCATAAGCACCAAAGCAAACAAAAAAAGGGAAAATAGACAATATAGCACATACTATAACCTGTCGAAACAAAACAGATTTGGAATGTCATCATTTTAAATTTTAATAAAATAGATTTCATATTACATACAGTAGGTCCATCCACTCATTGTTGATAAAATTTTTAGAAATAATTTCTATAAAAAGTTTAGTATTTGAGAATTTATTATAACATAACTTCTACAGGTACAGATTCTCTTAATTTTGTGATTCTTTTAATTTTATGAAACTTTAAAAATACAGAAAAGTACAAAAAATAAGACAAGATACCCTTATACCACAATGCAGAATTAGTGAGTTTCTTCATATATTTACTTGCAGAGAAATGGATATTTATATAAAAAGATGAAGCCCCTCCCCACCCCACCCCCACACTCATTCCCATCCCTTCTCCATTCTTCACAGGCCACCATCAGAAGTTTGGTCTGTATCCTTCCAACTGATTTCAAAAACATTTACATATCTATGCGTAACCATTAGCAATATAAAGTATTGAACTTCAGGCAAAATGTTTATAATTCAAATTTACAAAGTCACTGTACTATATATATACCATTCTCCAACTTTTTTCCATCTCAACTTTTTAGGTATTTCTGTGAACATGTGGCTTTCATCTGCTGCATTTTTATAGATGCGTAGTATTCCATCATAAGAACTTTACATTCTTGTTTTAGATGGATATTTGAATTGTTTCTAATATCTAGCTTCTACAAATTGAGCCACAGAGAAACTCCTAGTATTTCCTGAGTATACACATTAAGTATGTATTTTTTAATTTGTTACAAGAAATGCTTTCCTACTCCCAAAGTCAAAACCATTTTTTATACACTAGCTTTTAATAATGCTGTCTCCATTCTGGTTTTACTTTGTTGTATAATCCATGATCCATTCTTAGATAACAATTACCTCCAAATAATTTTTTAAAAATTATTTCCTCTTCTCCTAATGCCATCTCTTTCATATTCCAAATTCAAACAAATGCATAGGTCTTTATAGAATCTCTTCTGCTTTGCTGAATCACTATCACAAAGGCTTATTACTTGCATATAATCATATGTTTTTGTTTCCTCTGTAGTACTTGTAACTTTTCTTATACTGGCAAAGATCGCCAGATTTATGCTGAGTATAGTAACAATCCTTTATTTCCTGCTCCCAATTTTAGGGAAGTCAGTGTGACTTTTTTTTTTTTTTTTTTTTTGGAACCGGGGATTGAACTCAGGCCCTTGTGCTTGCCAGGGAAGCACTTATTCCATTGAGCCATCTCCCCCGCCCAATCAGTGTTACTTTTGATGTAGTTTTTTTGTTTGTTTGAGCAGTCTTTATCATACAAATGTCTTTTTCTTCAGTATGAACTATTGGTGTCCTCTAAAGTCTTAACATTTGTTTAAAAGTTCATCCCACTCAGGATGCTCTACTTCAAAATATTTCTGTTACACTGTGAGATACAAATTCCTGGTGCGTGTTTTCCCATTCTGAAGCTATTTACAGGTCTTAATGAGTATGGATTTTCTGATGTCTAATGTGGTGTGACTTCTGGCTGAAAGCTTTTCCACATTCACTACATTGATAAGGCTTCTTACCTGTGTGTATTCTCATATGCAGGGCTAGAGTTGAGAACTGTGAGGAAGCTTTCCCACATTCATTACAACTGTAGGGCTTCTCACCTGTATGGCTTTTCATATGCACTGTGAGAGAAGAACTCTGAGAGAAGGCTTTTCCACAAACATTGCATTCATAAGGTTTATCACCTGAATGAATCCTCACATATACAATAAGTGATGTTCGTTGAGAAAAGGCTTTTCCACATTCATTACATTCATAGGGTTTCTCTCCAGTATGAATGTTTTGATGCTTTATGAGGTACTTCTTCTGGCCAAAAGTTGTGTTCCACATTCATTACATTTAAAGGGTTTCTCTCCAGTATGAATTTTCTCATGCTCAGTAAGATTTGATTTGCCACTAAAGGTTTTCCCACACTGTTTACATATGAAAGGCTTCTCTCCGGTGTGAGTTCTTTGGTGTCTGATGAGGTTTGACTTCTGAATGAAAGCTTTTCCACAATCTTTGCACTCAAAAGGTTTCTCTCCAGTGTGAATTTTCTGATGGGTAAGGAGGTTCTCTTTCTGGCTGAAGGATTTTCCACAATCATTACATTCAAAAAGCTTTTCTCCAGTATGGGTGTTCTGATGTTTAATGACATACTGCTTTTGGCTAAAGGCTTTCCCACATTCATTACATTCAAAAGGCTTCTCTCTAGTATGAAAATGCTCATGTTCAGTTAGATTGGATTTGTGGCTGAAGATTTTCCCACATACCTGACAGGTAAAGGGGGCTCCCCCACTATAATTTCTCTGCTGACTGAGGTGTGACATTGGAATGGAAGCTTTTCCACATTCACAAGACTGTTCGCCAGTATAAATTTTCTGATGAATGAGGATTTACTTTTGGCTGAAGATATTTCCACATTTCTTACATTTATAAAACTTCTGTATATGACCTCTCAAATGCAGAACGAGGGACAAAGTTTGAGAGATAATTTTACCACCAGTACCACAATCAAATTTTTCTCTCTAGTATAAAGTTCTAATATTCAATGAGTATGCTATATCTATATTCACTGATTTCTTTCCAGTATGAATTTTCTGCTATTCAATGAGATCTGTCATCTAGCTAATGGCTTTTCAATTATTCCTTAAAAGCACAGTGTCTCTTTAGCATGACTTCCATTCAGTGAGACATGTGAATAAATGTTCACCCACATTCAGTAAATTCGTAGGATTTCTCTCAGGTAAAGAATGCTCTGCTATCAGACAGGGTATAAAGGGATTTCTACAATGACTCACAAGGGGCTATTATCACAATGAGTACAGTCTGGTAGAGGATTTCCAAATTAATAAAATTGGTGATTCTTTTCTATACAGCTTCCCTCATAATTAAGTCTAAATTATCTTTTGAAATCAAAATTTCAGAAAGGTGTTGCCTTAAGAGAAATAAGGTCTGTAAGAAAAGGAAGGATTGTTCTAGTTTTCTTATAGTCACTTTTTTCTCATCAGTGTTTATTGCAGATGGACACAACTTGCTTCCCAAGTGTTGATGTCTCTGTATCTGCTCGTTATGTTCTCAGGATTATTCTAGCAAGACTCCACTTATTTCTCCACCATCCAGTTTCTCTTCTTCAATGGAAAATCACATCCAGTTTGGTCTCTTTAAAACCTACTGTGCTGTGACTAAAGTACCATTCTAGAATTGAGGATGAGGCTCTAGGGCCCCGAGGCCATCTACAGGATGAGAAAAGTGTACTTTCCAGAGATGCACAAGGAAGTTGCCCTCCTACTTTTGCGCCACGTGTACCGAGAGGCCGTACCGACCCGTGGACCTGCACAGTGACTTTTAAAACCTATAGCTGTAAATTGGGCATGCTAATGCAC